CTTGCCTCTCAGCCACCGTATCAACACGGGCACCCAAATCAGTGACTGAGGTACGCAACCCAGCCATATCCTGCTCCAAAGCTGTCATATGGGTGCTCCGGCATGGCCGTAATGGGCCTGCCACATCATCTCTCGGAGGAGGAGGAACCGCAGCTACCTCAGCAGCAGCAGCATCATCAGCTGAATCATCATCAGAGTCATCAACATTCACCATCGGCTCTCGTCCAATTCCAATTTTTCTTGCCCGGAACGGGGCTTTTAGTGGCGATCTCCCATCAACCCGAGGGTCTTCAGGGACTCGAGCATTACAGCACAGCCGGGTGATCAGTGAAGGGAAGTAGTGGCCCTTGGTTAGCTCAGGTGATCTAATGAACATCTCTTCATGGATGAGCCGGCCACATCAAAATCACTGTGGGACATGAAACAGTGGATTGCGGACGCCCATGGTAGATTAACATCTGTCGTGTTGCTGGATGGAAACAATCGACNAATCACTATGTGACATAAAACAATAGATTGCGGACGCCCGTGGTAGATTAACATCTGTCGTGTTGCTGGATGGAAACAATCGACTGTTGACAATGGTGAGCCAATACTTAGCCTCCCAATTCAGACAGTGGGAGTTGAGAGTAATCCTGTGCTTAATCCATCGGTGTTCTCCGTCCGGCACACAGATAGTATCTAGAAGAGTTCCCCACAAGGCCCATGTACCGCTAAAAGTACGATAAGGATCAAATTCACCCCTAAATACTGGCAGCCTGTATACTCTGCGGATGGTGTTGAGGGATGCATTTACCAGGGTGTTGCGCACCGTCATAACCCCATTCTCATGCTCTGGCAAGTTCGCATAGAACTCCCTTACTAGTTGAACATTAGCCTTCTCTGGTACCTCGAAGAAGATGTCCAGCTGACACCGCCTCAGCTCATTAAACATATTGGGCATTCCACCTCCAAAGTTGTTCGATCAATTTGCACCTTAGGTTGCAACTTCTTAGCGTTTTTCTGGTTGTACCTATCCTCCACTGATTTGGATACAAACCGAGTGTTATCGAACTGAGGTGTACTGGCTTGGATCCTAGCCTGTGAGGAGCCTCCCGGTCCGCTAGTGGAGGGTCCGGTGTTTCGTCTCTTCCTGGAAGAACTCATTGTACCTGTCATACAACGAAACGCTTATTAGTGAGTGCGCAAAAATATGTGACTATGGATGGTTACTCAGACTTCACCATAACCATGTCACAATAGCTATTTATATCTCCATTGGGGCAATTTCCCAAACACCTTGTGAGCAAGGCACTATCCAAGCATATATAGCCCTCATGGGTACATCAAAGCTCCCCCCCAATCAAGTATACTACCACACCAACACACCCCACACTTGTATCATTCAATCACCCACCAACAAATACCGTTCCAAACATTAATTGCACAGCCCCTTCACCAATCATGGTCAAAAACGAAATTTAATATAAAAACAAAAAGAAACTACAAAAATCTACCAACAATTACAACACCATATCAACATAAAACTACATAAACTACAATACAATACCAAAGAAAAGAGAGGAAATAGGTGAGGAACATACTGTAGTTGAAGAATGGGTGAGAGGAATGGAGGTGGGGGATGTTAGTATGAGGGAAGAAGAAGAAGAGAGAGAGTATTTGGGTGGTTAGGTTTTAGAGAGAGGGAGATATTGAAAATTTGAGGGAGGGGATCGGGTATTTTGGGTTTAAGAGGGGGGTTTTGGGTTTTGAAATTAAAAGAGGAAGAAAAGAGAAAAGAAAAACGCAAAAAAAAAATTAAAATACCTGGTACCCATCGCGGTGGGTTTAAAATCTTGAGGCAGAAAGTTTACGCCTCACTGCGGTTTATCGCGGTCTACCGCAGTCGCGGTGAGATGAAAAATTCGAGGCAGAATGTTTGCCTTCCACCGCGGTCGCGGTGCTGATGCTTTTTTTTTAACACACTAATAACAACACTCGTGTGTTTCCTCCCACGCAGCGCCTGAGTTAACATCGCGGCACGACGCACGCATTTGATCATCACTCCTCATTCGCGTACTGGGGCTCTTCCAAAGTGATTACTACTCTATCCTTTTTTTCTTCAGCTATTACAAGGTAATGTTTCAACATTTGCCCATTTACTGTGAACCTATTTGTACCATCTTCTGATTCAATCTCTACAGCTCCACTTAAGAACAATTGCACCACTCTGAAAGGTCCTGACCATTGGGACTTTAACTTACCTGGGAACAATCACAATCTCGAGTTGTATAACAACACTAAATCTTCGGGTTTGAAGTTTTGATCCAAGATGTGCTTATCATGTATTAATTTCATCCTTTGTTTATATAATCTAGCAATCTCAAAGGCCTGGAACCTGAATTCCTCGAGTTCATGTAACCCAATGATTTTGTTAGTCCCTGTTGTCTCCATGTCTAAGTTTAACTGCCGCAATACCCAAAGTGCTTTATGCTCTAGCTCAACTGGGAGGTGGCATGCTTTGCCAAACACCAACTTGTACGGTGACATACCAATTGGAGTTTTGAAGGCTGTGCGGTACGCCCATAATGCATCATCCAATTTCTTTGCCCAGTCAGTCCTTGTTGCATTCACTATTTTTGTGAGGACACTTTTAATCTCCCTATTGGACACTTCAACTTGCCCGCTCGATTGTGGGTGGTACGGGGTGGTCACTTTATGACGAACTCCATATTTTTTCAACAGCCGTGCAGAAAGCTCTATTGCAGAAATTGGTTCCGCCATCATTGAGTATAGCTCTTGGGGTACCAAAACGTGTGAAAATGTTCTTCTTTAGAAAGTCTAGTACCCCTTTAGCATCATTGGTTGGAAGAGCCACTGCTTCGACCCACTTGGAGACATAGTCAACTGCTACCAATATGTACTTGTTACCATACGAGCTGACGAATGGCCCCATGAAGTCAATCCCCCCCATGTCAAAAATCTCCACCTCCTGAATTGTGGTCATTGGCATTTCATGTCTACGAGATATGTTGCCAGTTCTTTGGCATTCATCGTAGCTTTTAACCCAAGCATGGGCATTCTTGAACAGAGTAGGCTAGTACAAGCCTGACTCTAACACCTTAGCTGCTGTCCGAATTCCTCCAAAGTGTCCACCATATGGTGAAGCATGGCAAGCCTACAAAACAAAATGTTGATCGTTCTCGGGGATACACCGCCGGATCATGTTATCTACACATATTTTAAACAACAGAGATTCATCCCAATAATAATACCGATAATCATGAAAGAACTTTTTCTTTTGTATTGAGGAGAGTTCATAAGGTACTATACCACTTGCTAAATAATTAGCAATATCAGCATACCATGGTGCCTCCTCCATTGTCATTGCCAGTAACTGTTCATCCGGGAATGTCTCTATTATATCCTCAACCTCTACCTTCTTTTCATCTCTTTCTAACCTTAAGAGGTGGTCAGCTACTTGGTTCTCTGTCCCTTTTCGGTCACGTATTTCCAAATCGAATTCTTGTAACAGAAGAACTCAGCGAATCAAGCGTGGCTTTGACTCCTTATTTTCTATTAGGTACCTAATTGCTGCATGGTCAGTATAAACAATAACTTTCGAGCCAATCAAGTATGACCTGAATTTGTCGAATGCAAAAACAACAGCCAACATTTCCTTTTCCGTCACGGTGTAATTGAGTTGTGCACCGCTTAGCATTTTGCTTGCATAGTAAATCGGGTGCATCGGTTTATCCTTTCGCTGCCCCAAGACTGCTCCTATGGCATAGTCACTTGCGTCGCATATGAGCTCAAATGGCTGCTCCCAGTTAGGTGTAACAATGATGGGTGCAGTCGTCAATCGCTTCTTCAGCTCCTCAAATGCCAACATGCAATCATTAGAAAACACAAAGGGGTGATCCTTTTCAAGGAGTTTGCATAATGGGTTAGCAATTTTGGAGAAATCTTTTATGAATCGCATGTACAACCCGGCGTGCCCAAGGAAACTTCTCACCGCCTTGACTGAAGTGGGCGGTGGTAGTTTTTCAATCACGTAAACCTTAGCATGGTCGACCTCAATTCCTTTACTGGACACTCGATGCCCCAGGACTATCCCTTCCTGTACCATAAAATGGCACTTCTCTCAGTTCAACACTAAATTTGTCTCCACACATCTTTTGAGAACTCTTCTTAAGTTGTGAAGACAGTCCTCGAATGAATCTCCCACCACAGAGAAATCATCCATAAAGACCTCCATAATATCCTCCACCATGTCTGTGAAAATGGCTAACATGCACTGTTGAAATGTCGTCGGTGCATTGCAAAGCCCAAAAGGCATTCTTCGAAAGGTGAAGATGCCATAAGGACAAGTAAAGGATATTTTCTCTCTATCTTAGGGATCTGATTGTACCCCGAATATCCATCCAAGAAACAGAAGTGTGATCGCTCGGCCAGCCCGTCCAATATTTGGTCAATGAAAGGCAAGGGGAAGTGGTTCTTCTGGGTGGCTGTGTTCAATTTTCGGTAATCCATGCAAATTCGCCATCCCGTAACTGTACGAGTTGAGATCAACTCATTGTTCTCATTTTGCACAACAGTCATTCCCCCCTTTTTTGGCACACATTGGACAGGGCTGACCCAATTACTATCAGAGATGGGGAAGATGATTCTCGCATCTAACCATTTGATTACTTTCTTTACTACCTCTTTCATGTTCGGGTTCAGCCTTCGTTGATGTTCTCTGGAAGGTTTGTGCTCTTCTTCCAAGAGAATTTTGTGCATACAGAAGGCTGGGCTGATACACTTTATGTCTGCCATGGTCCAGCCAATGGCAGTCTTACTTTCATGCAGTACCTATAAGAGTTGTTCTACTTGCACATCTAGCAAACCGGATGATATAATAACAGGCAAAGTAGAATCAGGGCCTAAGAAAATGTACCTGAGGTGAGCTGGGAGTGGCTTCAGCTCCAACTTGGGTGGTTCCTCTACTGATGGCTTTGCTGGAGGTGTAGCCCTTTTTTCTAAATCAAGGGACTCGAACTGAGGTTCCCTTTCCAGAATCCTTGGCCTTCAAGTTCCATGACCCATTCAGCTAATCCTTTACTATCCATTTCTTCTAAATTTGTCAGACATGCCTCCAATAGATCTTTAGCAGTCAGGGTCACACCATCTTCTTGCAGGATCACATCCACTGCCTCCACTAGAGAGCAGTTAGCATATTCACTGGGTCTCCTCATAGATTGCTGAACATTGAATATGACTTCTTCATCATTCAGTCTCATTTTTAATTCCCCAGTTTCACAATCGATCAGTGCTCTCCCAGTGGCCAAAAATGGCCTACCTAAAATAATAGGTATCTCCTCATCTACCTGACAGTCCAGAATAACAAAGTCTACAGGGAACACGAACTTCCCCACTTGTACCAACACATCAGCAAGAATCCCAGTAGGCCTTTTTACCGTGCGGTCAGCCAGCTGCAGCAGCATCAAAGTCGGTCTAGCTCTACCAATGCTCAGTTTGGTGTATACATCCAGAGGCATCAAATTTATGTTGGCTCCCAAATCACATAATGTCTTTGCAAAGGCATAACTCCCAATTGTGCATGGAATAGTGAAGCTACCTGGGTCTGACATCTTTTGAGCCATCGGTTTGGTCACTACTGCGCTGCAGGTCTGCATCAGAGTTACTGTGGATAGGTCTTGAAAATCAAACTTCCGTGAAATTAGGTCTTTCATCATCTTCGCATAACCTGGCATCTCCCTCAAGGCATCCATCAAAGGAATATTCAACTGAATTTGACGCAGCATCTTCATAAATTTCTTATATTGATCTTCCTTCTTTTGTTTTACCAGTCTCTGAGGGAATGGTGCAGGTATCACCCTTTGTGCATTTTTTGTTGGCTTCTCTCTATTGGGGTTCTATGACACAAGAGGCACCACCTGTTCTGCAGCTTTTTCATTTACCTTGGCCTTACCCTTTCATCTTGACCCTGTTCAACCACCACTTTAGTCAGATTTGATAGTTCATCTACCTCTGGTGAAATTGGAGTGGCTGGCGTAGTCTTTTTGTTGTCTTGTGCAACCTCCTGCTCTTTGTCTAAATCTCTCTCATTTCGGAGACTTACTGCCATCAGCTTATTCGGGTTTTGCTCCTTGGGGTTAATATTTGTGCCCGCTGGCAATGTTCCCTGGGGCGGTTGTTTAAAGCCATAGACAACTGCCCCAACTGAGTTTCAATGTTCTTTATAGCTGAATCATGTACTGCTAACTTTTCTTGCATCTTACCATTTGTCCCAATGAGTTGCTGGAGCATCCCTCTGATCTCTACCATGTTGTTATCTTGCTGATATGTCAATTGTTGTTGGTTATGTTGTGGGTAGCACTGTTGTCTCTGGTGGTATGGCACCATTTGGCCTTGAACTTGCATGCCCCCAGGCTGAGGCATATTGGGTCTGTATTGTTGATTTGGTGCCGGTCTCCACTATTGTCCTCCTTGTCTCTGACCCTCAAAGTTGTTAACATAATTCATATATTCCCTTACCCCTTGATTTTCACCTTCTTCGCTCCATGAACACACATAAGACTAATTAAAACAGGGTGTGCACAATCCTCCATTTGTCGTGTCAACAATATGCACCTGTTTGGTACCCATCTCATCTATCTTCTTTGTCAAAATATTCATCTGAGTCATGAGTGTGGTCATGTTGTCTGCATGCGAATTATTTGGGTCAAGAGGAACTGAATGTACTATGGGTTCCAGTGTTGTACCTCTAGTCATCCACCCCGAATTCTAGGACATCTTGTCAAGAAGGACTTTGCACTCGGTGAATGTCTTACTCAAAAATGCACCTCCAGCTAAATCATCCACATTGGCCTTTAGATTGTCGGCTAACCCTATATAGAATCTCTGGCCAAGCATCTGGTCTGGAATGCCATGGTGAGGACACGTCACCAGTATCCCTTTAAATCTTTCCCAAATTTCTTGCAAGGTCTCAGTTGGCTGCTACTTGTACTGCAATATTTCATCAATCTGCCTTGCAGTCTTGTCGGGCGGGTAGAACTTATTCAGGAACTGCTTTACTAATTCCTCCCATGTGACAATGGAATTGATTGGCAGCGAATTCAGCCAAGTTTGAGCTTCCCCAGCCACAGAGAACGGGAACAGTAATAGCTTGATAGCTTCTGGGGTCACATTTGGCTACCTTTGAGTCACACAAATTGACAGAAAGTTTTTCAAATATTGCTGAGGGTCTTCAATGTGTGATCCGGAGAACAATCCTTTATTATGTAGCAGATGCAGCATGTTGTTGGTGATCTGGAATGTCTTCGCTTGAATTGCGGGCACAGCTATGGCAGTTGCCAGGTTGTCAGCTGTGGGTTGAGCCCAATCATAAAGTGCAGCTTCTAGCACAAAAGGTGCCATCACTCTGACGTTTGGGTAAACTGGCTCATCCCTGATGTTTCCGTTGACGTTCTCTACGTCACCCATGTCAATTTTAAGCTGGTGTAGTTGTTGTGATTGTTGGATCCTCTTGTTGGCACAGTTCAATGCCCTGAATATTTTCTCGGGGTCTGAAAGTCCTTCAAGCAGTTCTCCAGTCCTCGAAGAATTTCTAGGCATACACCTGAATTCCACAAGAGTTCAAACGTTAGAATTTCAATGAAAATTGTTTAACACCTTTGGAAATTGATTTGAACTAATAATTTTAACACTACTTCTAAGTTATAATAAATAACATCGTTAATTCCTCAGCAACGGCGCCAAAAATTGATAATGCCCAACTATGCCTTATAAAAAGGACTAAGCGGTCGCTGCAAATATAATCCGGTTTTAAGTCCGGAATCGAATCCTCAGGGAACTAACCTATCTATTATACTCTTCGGCAATGTTATTATCAACTCAATCAATCTCTAGATGCAAGATTTTTGATCAATAAAGATTGGGTTTTTGTTTAATTACTTCAACTACTATTAAAAACAACAATAAGCTAAAACAAAGATAATTCAATGGTAAGGAGGTCTATGGCAGTGATTTCTCCAATTGCTAGTTTAGGTCTTGACTCTTCCTCTATAATCTCGCCGTAATACTCTATGAGGATTAAGAGTTATGGATTATCGTAATTATCTCTCGATCAACTACGATAATTTACTAGAGCATTCTCTCGAACTACTCTAGCTGACAATAGTTATGCAACTCTAAATTATCCCACCAAAGTTTTGTTATCTCTAAACCCACTTTTAAGTTCAAGTAATGAATCTCTTCAATTACCCAAAAGTGGTGTTGTTCAACAGCTATCTAACCTAATATTCTTTCTCAAGCAATATAAGGTAATTAGATACGATTAATCAAGGGCCCATTCAATTAATCACCATACAAAATGTAGTTGAACAATCATATCATAAGTCCGGCTCGATTATAACAACTTGAGTCAAAACTCCAACCAACAATTGGTTCTATCAACCCTAGATAAGTATTTAGCTACTCATAACAAAATAAGAGAAAACTACTAAATTGTTCATAATGTAAAATTTGCAAGAATTAAAAGGAGATAGAAAAATTCTAATGTTTGGTTGATCTTATCACTCTTGTTCTTGCCTCCAAAAGTAGTCTAAAATCAGCTTAGCTTAATCTTGGGCGAGTTTCTAAAGCATATAAGGGTTTTACAAAAGTTTCCCCAATTTTACACTTTGGTCCTCAAACTTTCTAGCAGCGTGAACAGTGCACCGCGGTCGCGGTCGACCGCGGTGAATGCTGACCTTTCTGCCTCACGTTGTTAATCTACTGCGGTGCCACCGCAGTCGCGGTGGCCTTCTTGCCCAGGTCATTTATGCTTCTTTGTGTTCGGGTACTTCTCGAGTGGGCGTTTTTCTTCACATTATCGCCTCCAAAACACTCCATGTTGCTTCCTCTCATATAATATTCCCTGCTAAACAAAAGAAAATTATTTAGAATATTTTATTGGCAATTTATCTATAAAACAACAATAAAGTATGGTCATATTAAGGTGTAAACATCAACTATATAGCCTACTATCAATAGCCAAAATGTTTTCTCCCTCAGATAATAGAGTTGGATTTTTCATCATTATATCCTCATCTGAAAATATAATATTTCTTCAAATTTGTCACTTAATTTCCAAACACAGACATTGAATAATGCTCTTCTCGTGGGCATTCTCAACCATAATTATATAAACAAATCCATCATCTACAAGTCTACAACCATTTTTCCACTGAAGTAATGGCACCGAGGTAGGGTTGGTAATTTGAGCCCAAACATATTCGATCCGCTTAAGGTTGGACTGATTATTGACCCGCCCATTTGTTAAACTTAATCTCTTTTGACCCAACTTATTTCAACGCATCAAAAGTTGGGATGATTTTTAGCCCAGATTAATTCAAGAGTAATTTGGCTAAAACATTTTTTAAATATTTTTTGTTTTTGTTTGATATGTTATATATTACCATAAAAAAAATATGTTATTTGATAATTAAACAATTCATAAGAAAATCACCCACATTAATTAAAGTTTGGTAAGAGTTGAGCAGGTTGGGCTATGACCCAAATTTTAGCCCAACTTCACACAACACATCTCAACCCAAGCTATTTTTGAGCGGGTTAATTGACTTAGCCCATTTTGACTCGCTCAAAATCAGCACGCCCCTTTGACACCTCTAGTAGCAGGCAAGGAAACGCGGAGACTTACAATATAGAGTATGTGTTATTATGAATACAGAAAGTTGCAGAAATATTCAATCAATACTAGTACATCACAACTCCAAATTAGTCGAGATCCATTATTATTCAATCAACTCTGGATAAAAGAGTCATAACATTCTGGCTAGTACAATACATCAGTAAACTGACATCCTAAGCAGACACGCCAAGAGTCCTTAAGGTAAAAACTGTAAAAACTGTAATAGTACTTTAAGCAGGTGTTTGGACATAAGAATTGTAAAATTCTAGAAAAAAGTGGGGGATCAAGTGAAAATGGTATTTGAAAATTAGAGTTGTGTTTGGACATGAATACAATTTTGGGTTATTTTTGAATTTTTCTGAGTGATCTAAGTGAAATTTTTTGGAAAAAAAAACTTTTTTGGAGTTTTTCAAATTTTCGAAAAATTCTAAAATATATCTTCAAGTGAAAATTGAAAAATTATGGTCAAACATTGATTTTGAAAAAAAATAATTTTTTCATTTGCACTCTAAAATAGGAAGAAAACTGCTACAAACTGATTCTCATACTTAAACTCCTTAAATTAGACTGTTCAATCGCTTACAATGTTCTCTGGCATTGTTGGTTAATCAAAGGGCCACTATATTCACTATACAAATTCCATACTTTAACTAAGCTTAGTGCAAACTACCAGCATTATACAATGAAAAAATTTGATCAAATAAGTTAAAACAAAATTTTCTACAGAAGCTACTGCATTTGAAGATGCTCAATTCTTCACACCTAACAATGGCTTTGTACCTCTATAGTCCACAGTCTAACTACATCCATCTTCCCATCTTCATTGACATCATTTTCCCTTTTTTTTTTGACGACCGAGAATCCGTCTGGAGCCGATCCTCGGTAGATAATGGGTCCGCCCCTCTGTCCTTCTCCACTTAAATACCAGGCTTTGCTTTGCATGGTGTGGGGGCTTGAACCTGTGACCTAAGACACAAATCAACCACCCTTTGCCACTTGAGCTAGGCCCCAGGGGCGACATCATTTTCCTTTTCTTGTGTGCTTTATGCTTTTCGGCGATCCTCAGCTTTCTCTTGGCATTTCTCATTGGATTAACCACAGCAATGACCTTCTCTTCTTGTTTCCTCTTATCCCTCTTGGATTTGAGAGTCTTCCTTATATGACACTCTGCACTCCTATAACATTGTTTATGCTTCTGCGCACTTCTTCAGCCGGTTGTTTCGCGTCATCTGTGGAGTAGATACAAACGTAATCTGTATTTTCATCTTAGCTTTTTTACTTTCATATTTTTAAAACCTGTTTTGAAAATGCTTTTCTTGAGCGGAATTATATCTCAAATAGACTCTCTACCTCACATAAGATAGGGGTGAGGTCCGCGTACACTTACCTTTCCCAGACCCCACTTATGGGATCAAACTGGATATATTGTTGTTTGTTGTTTGTTACCTTTAAGGTTTTCTTGACCGCTAAGGTCAGACACAAGAGATAAATAATGTTTTTCCCTTTCCTTGAATCAAGTTGTTGAAAAGCCTTAAGTAGAAGACCTTGCTCAGTGCTCATCATGTTCAATGGTGGACTAGAACTTGTTTTGACGCTTACATTCATTTTTTCCTAAGAATGAATACTGGCGCAAATTGAAAAGATAAGGAGTGTGTTTGGTATAACGGAAAAATTTTCCGTGGAAAATATTTTTCAAAAAAATATTTTCTTGGAAAACAAGTAGCAATTTTATTCATTTTTCGGTGTTTAGTACGCAAATTAAGGAAAATGACTTCTTAAGAGTATTCATAAATAATTTAGATATAATAAACATGAAGCTATAAACTTTCAAACCAATAACCCTCCGAACCCACAAATTTCATAAACTTTCGAACCGCTAAACTTTCGAAATCGCAGAATTTCGAATCCGTAAACTTTATAATTTCTAAACCCATAAAGTTTCAAACACATAAACCTCTGAACTCATAATTTTGGAACTTCTAAAATTTTAAACCTTTAATCCGATAAATAAACAATTAAAACTGAAAAATATATTTAAAAAATATNGAAATTTGAAGAAAAAAAAACCTTTTTTTAAGAGAGGGGGTGGGTGGGTTGGTGAGGGTGGAGAAGGCTGAGAAGGAGTTTTGGAAAATGTTTTCCCTTCTCTTGGTAAGGAAAACATTTTCTTCCAATTGAAGAAAAACATGGAAAAATTGAAAAACATTTTCCGAAAAATATTTTTCTTCCTACCAAACACACCCAAGATTTCGAGTAATGAGATCACTGGCAGCATTATCAGTCTGCAGCACCTTCGGTTGACAACAAAGAGAAGTAGCTATAAAGAAAAGTCTACTTGGCCTCATCAAAAAGTAAGTTCCTTGAAAGTTTTTGGGTTCTGAATTTGGCATCGAATCCATAGCATATTTTAGTTACTGGGTTCACAATTACATATTAATATAAACTTAATACATTTTCTAATACAAATACAAGGGTCTATGCAAAAAGTTACTGGGTTCGGCCAAACCCACAAACTGTATCCTGCCTCCGCCCCTGCACCACGTACATGTAATAAGTTGGACATATTATGGATGACTTGGTTTAGCTCTCCCACATTTTAGGACTATAGCTAAAATAACAAAGTACAACAGCAATAGTGCATCTGATACCCAATGAGTACAGCAGCAACAACAGCACTAATAAAGCATAGAGACGTAAAATATTGCATCTTTTTTCATTCTACAGAGACAAACATCCATTCTATAGAGGATAGATACTGTATCTTTTTACATTCTACAGAGACAAATGTACAAAGAAAAAATTTCAAAATGCCCTCAACCAGTTATGAATATCCATTAGCTCCATGTAATTCCAGTAGAATAGGTCCGGATGGCAGGCAAATTTTATGATCGCTCATATTTATAGAAGTAATCACTTAGTATAGTAATCAGTACAATAGTAACTTTAGTTTCAAATAGAAGATTAAAAGAAAAGGAAAAATACCTCACGATGAAGTCGTTGCATCATTTGTAAGAACACTAACAGCAGATAGCAAGATGTTTCTCAAAACAGGCAAGAGACTATCAATATACTTTTGGAAACCATCCTTCACCACTTCAATGAGTAACCCCAAAACCTGTAGAAGAAATGATGAAGCCTTGAAACATTATTTTTCTATTTTTGATGAGGAAGAAGTTATATCTCAGATTCATGAAAGACAAAAAAAAAAATTAGAGGTCAACTCGTCCATCTTCCTCTCGTCTAATTCAATGTTCATATATAAATGAAAATGAAAAAGTGAATGACATATGGAACTTCTATTCCTCAGTATTCCCAACTTGCTCCTCTATGATAACACACCCCAACCAAGCTGATCCAACATAATGTACTTGAAATAAAAGAACAGTTTGGGACTTTCACCCCTTTACCTGTGCTGCAGCACTCCACAAATGTGGTTTATCTCCCGGGTACTAAGACCGACTAAACTCAAGAATACCTAAGGATTGGCTCAAGGGATAGTCTCCCTTTCATGTCCAATCTTGAAAGTGTGGCAATATTTTAAACCATCGTTGACAAATGTTATAACGATCCGACCGGTCGTTTTGAGATTTTGTATTTTGCTCGTCAGTTCTCGGGCATTACTAGCCCCGTGTGATGTATTATGACTTATGTAAATCGTTGATTTTGGTTTTCAGGGTAATCAGAAAGAATTTGGAAGAACAGTTATCAGTTTGAAGCTTAAAATTTGAAAGGTTTGATCAAGTTTTGACTTGTTAGTATATGATCTCGGATTAGAATTTTTATGATTTGGTTAGCTCCGTTAGGTGATTAAGGACTTAGGAGCGTGATCAGAATGTATTTTTGATTTCCGTGGAAGGTTTAAGCTTGAATTGGCGAAATTGGGATTTTTGGCGTTTTCCGGTTGATAGGTGGGATTTTGATATAGGGGTCGAAATGGAATTCCGGAAGTTGGAGTAGGTTCGTTGTGTCATTTATGACGTGTGTACAAAATTTCAGGTCATTTGGATGAGGTTTGATAGACTTTTTGATCGAAAGCGGAATTTGAAAGTTTTTGGAATTCTTAGGCTTGAATCTGATGCAAATTTAGTGTTTTAATGTTGTTTTGAGTGTTACGAAGGTTGGAACAAGTTTGAATGATGTTATAGGATATGTTAGCATGTTTGGCTGAGATCCCGAGGGCCTCGGGTGAGTTTCGGATGGTTAACGGATCAATTTTTGGACTTTGGACTTGGCAGATTTTCTGGTATTTTGTTGCAGAGAAATCCTTCTTCGCGTTTGCGAGAGGCTTCTCGCGCTCGTGAAGGGTTATTGAGAGGGTTAGTCAAGTTGTTCTCTACGTTAGCGATGTAGGTCTCGCGTTCGCGAAGGTGTATGAGTTTAAGGCTATGCATTCGCGACCTGGGCCTCGCGTTCGCGTAGAGTCTACGATCATGTGGAGTTCAAGCAATTAAGCCTACGCGTTCGCATTTGGTGTTACACGTTCGCGTAGGGTCGAGTTATGTGGTCATCGCATTCGCGTGTGGGCCCTTGCGTTCGCTAAGGAGAGAATTTGGTCAGTGAAGCTTTGAGCTTCGCGAACGCGAGGGTGATGTCGCATTCGCGATAAAGAATACATGGGCAGTCAGTTTATATTATTAAAATCGAGGGTTTGATCCATAATTTCAAAATTCCATTAGAGAGCTTGGGAGAAGGTGAACTTTGAGGAGATTTTCAGTGGAGCTATTGGGGTAAGTATTCTTCACTCATATTTGGTTTAATTCCATGATTTAGTCTTGAATTTCATCATTTAATTTGAAAGATTAGAGTGAAAATTTGGGGGGGAAATGGAAGAAAAGTTTGAGAATTCTTTTGGGGATTTGAATGGCCATTTGATGTCAAATTTTGATAATTTTGGTATGTATAGACTCATGAGAGGATAAGGATTCTATTGATGTGACTTTTATCGGATTCCAAGACGTGGGGCCGGGTTTGGCCAATTTCGGGATTTTTGGTATAAATTGAATATTTTCGAATGGGCTTTGTAACCTTAGCATATTTTGATGGTGTGAATCTGCTTTTGGCTAGATTTGAAGCATTCAGAGACCGAGTCGAGAGACAAAGGCATCGCGGGCTAGAGTTTGGACCGAATTGAGGTGAGGAATGATTGTAAATGTTGTCCTGAGGGTATGAAACCCCGAATTTCACATTATTGTGCTATATGGAGGTGACGCACATGCTAGATGACGAGCGTGAGGTCGTGCACTGTGGGGATTGATACTTAGTCCATCCCGAATGACTGTTTTACTGCGTATTTGATTGAAAACTCTTTGTTATCATCATGTTTTAGGCTGAATGCTATATTTGGGCATGGTGCCAACTATTTTGGACCCTTAGGGGATTTTTACTATTATTCCCCACTGTTTTGACTTTATACTTGTACTCAGTCATTCTACATTTTACTCTTTTCATAACTCAGTCATGTTTACTCTGTTTTGACATATTAAATGATAATTTGGGTTGAGCATCATATTTTACTGTGCCCGAGTGTCTTTTAGAGATTTCTGACTGAGTAGGGCCGAGGGCCTGTGTTGTGAGGATTATTATGGGATCGGGCTGCACGTCGCAGTAGTGTTGTACTGATTATGATTATGAGGCTGAGGGCCTGAGTTGTACGCCATAAGGTGGCTTGGTATGAGGCCGAGAGCCTATTGATTATGTCACGAGATGACTTGATATTGTGCTTGGGCCGTAAGGGGACCCTCCCGGAGTCTGTACACCCCTAGTAAGCGTGGGTACCTAGTGTGTTATGTGATATAGACCGAAGGGCTGATGTTATTCCATGTTAGTGCCCGAGGGGTGGTTCTTGATTTATGTTATGCCCGAGGGGCTGATTACGTGTGATTGTGAGGTAGCCTGATAGGCTGGTTCTGTTGATATTATGCCAGAGGGGCGGTTTATGGTACATATTTTGCCCGAGGGGCTGTTTACGTTTCTATCATGTTTATTCACTATTTTATCACTCGTTTGAAACTATTGAAAATTATTTTTAAGAGGTTTTTATGGAAACTGAGCATGATTTACGAAGTAACTAATTTCTGTACTATGTTGGGAATATCATGTATTTGTTGTAGCTTTTTGACATGGTTTACGTGTTTTCTTACTGCTCAACTTTCATTTACCTTTATTACTCACTGAGTTGGAGTACTCACATTACTCCCTACACCTTGTGTGCAGATTCAGGTATTTCTAAACCCGGTAGTGGGTGTTGATTGCTTGGAGGCAGAGTCATCAGAGTTTAGCAAGGTAGTTGCCCGACGTTCGCATCACTGCTTTTCTCCCTCTTGTCTTCCTTAGACTATATTTAGTACATTCTTAGACTCTTGTTGTATTTAAACCTGAGTAGATGTTTGTGACTTTTGATACCTCGATGTCCGGCTTGTATATTATTTCTGCACTGTTCATTTAGACTTACATTATGAGATATTTGATTAATTAAAAAGCTTAGAAATGAATTATCATTGATTAAATGGTTAACTCGGGAGTTGTGTCAGCTGGCCTAGTTTCACGATATGTGATATCACAACCCGGTCGGTTTAGGGTCGTGACAAGTTGGTATCAAAGTCTGGGTTATATAGGTCTCGCGAGTCATGAGCAGGTTTAGTAAAGTCTCGCGGATCGATACGGGGATGTCTGTACTCATCCTCGGGAGGCTGCAAACCCTTTAGGAAATCCCATATTCTTGAATTCTTATCGTGCGTCCTTGATTCAGCTTGAAATGTAACTCTTGAGATTCCTTCCACGCATTCATGTGCGTGCATGAGCACTCAGTATCATATGTGCATCGACGGCTTGTGATTCCCTGATCGAGGGGCGAGATGAGATCTCTATATGTTAATGTTGGACCAGTCTGAAGGACTTGAAGTCGGGTTTTGTCGATAGCTTGAGCAATGAGGTGTTGATTGTGTAAGCACGTGCTTTTTGAATTTATATGTTCGGTAGCATCCCTATTAGTGGAAGTAATGGCTGGATGACTATGACCGCGAGATGTGTTCATATGATTTGGAAGCGACGAGAAGGGTATGTTTGGGGATAGAAGAACTATTTGGTACTTGATTTCCATCTTGATTTGATGTATAGCCCCGAGTTATGGGAGTGTGAAGAATCTTTTCATGTTTTCTAGTTGGGGAGTGAAGTAAGTTTCATGTTGCGATATGAGTTCAGACTTAGGAAGATTAAGTGACTGCGTAATGTTTATGATGGTGGAAGGGTATAAAGAGATGTTAGTTTGAGGCGAAGCAGGTGGGTTATCTCCTGCGGGTGTTTTGAAGTTTGTGTGATCCTTATGTGGTTTGTTGGAAAACCTCTTTTACCAGTGAAATGTATGTGTTGCAATTTGAATTTGGGTTGCGTAAGAGAGTGGGCTTGACTGCTACGAGGGCGAATGCGAGATTTGTGGGAGATTTGAGGTACTAGATGGTTTGTGTTGTACGAGCTTATGAAGGATTGAGTTTAATCTCACTATGGTATTATGACAGTAATAGAGTATATGCATTATGAGTTATTGTGTGTTTTGATCTATGGCTTTGAGCCAAGTGGGGGAGTCTGCTATTGATTAGTTGATTGCACGGTTATGGGCTATGTTGGTTCCAGTATGAGGCGTACTAGTGAATCAATTGTGGCTTGCGAGGGTCGAGATTGAGAATGGTTCGAGTATAGGAAATTTTAATAAAGGTTATGTTATACTTTATGGGTGTATGAGAATCATGGAATGACTTGGGTTGTTATTGGTAAAGGATGTACGGTGCATAGAGCAGGAAGTTGCTTGGTTGTAGGTGAGGTTACATTCTGCAGTGTCGGAATGATAATGGAGCACAGGTTATTCGGTTCTTTTGATCAGTCTAATTGTAGTTTGAGTAGAGAGGATGACTCTCGAGAATGGTTCTAACGGATTCAAGACTTTACATGTAATAATTGTAGATTTTCAGGTTGTATGTTTGGCTAGAAACTGAGGTTTGCATTGGAGGGTGTCAAGACTTGTGGCATTTCTATACCAATTATGGGATTCTTTATATCAGTATCAGGAAGGTGAAGGTAACGACTTTGGATTCGCAGGAAGTCCCTTCAGGGTAGGTATTTTTGAATATAGTGCTTTTGGGGAATATTTAAGAGAGTATTCAGCGGCTTATGAACCTTAAACGGTATGGTTTTATGCTTGGGTCTCGTATAGTGAGTCTGGATTGAGGAATTATGGTGTTATAGCAAGAAGAAGTATCAAGTTGAAGGTAAATCAGAAGGAACTTTGATAGATGGGATAGCTTGGTAGTAGGCCGGATCGGCATGGTAAGGATATGATTAGTTCTTTGGATGCTTATGAGGTAATAAGTTTATACATGTGTTTCACGGCAATGCTCTTGGGTTTTAGTGGCCTGCGCAGCTTGGTTGAGTTAGAAGGATTCAGTCCTGACATGTTTGGTTTTGTGCAAAGGGGACTCGGGGAGTTCTTAATGATTTCTGCCACGGTTTGGAGGTGTATATTTCCTACTGGCATGAGGAGCATGGGATGTATAGTAATTTTCTCATAGATGTGATTAAATGGGAGAGTTCTTGGCTAGTTGAGTATGTAGTTTCTTGCGGCTCGGAATGGGTATGTAGTTCTCATGTTTATCCTAGGATGGTATGGTATATGTGGTATGTTGCGTAGGATTGAGATTTGCATGTGTAAGGTCACGGTTCAATTTTGAAAAGAACGTCACAAATTCTTAGGTAGTGTCACACCTCCTTTTTCCCACCCGAGGGTATATAAGGGAGTTTTTTCAATTAAAGTGACAATAACCGAAACGGAATTATTTATTCAAATTTAGAGTCGCCACTTGGGATAATTTATAGTGTCCCAAATCACCAGTTTAAAATCCTGAATCGAGGAAGATTGACTCTATTTACGGTCTGCGAACACAAAAATCCAGGTAAGGAATTTTATTAATCCGGAAGAAGGTGTTAAGCATTCCCGGGTTTCGTGGTTTTAGCACGGTTGCTCAACTATTAATAATTGACCTAATTATCTGATTTAGTACATGTTTTAAACCTACGTGCATTTTTAACTTTCTAACTGCTTTCAATATTTTTAGGAAAATTCATGATCATCATACACTTGCTTATTTTTGAAAACACATCGTAAACCACGCTACATGAAATGCACCCGCGGTTCACGACATGTTTAATTATTAAACGTTATTGAAAATTAAAGTCGGGTCACATGAAATGTATACCCGGATTTGGAAATTATATATTGCAACTATGTCACGGGAACCGTACCCGTAGCCGTGATGATTCATTTACGCGCCTAGAGCAGACTACGAAAATTCATAAATTATTTTCCTAAGACTAGTTTGAAACTATTGTGAGGCTATAGACTATTGACCCAGCTGTGAAACAATATACATAATAAACACTCAAGTGCAATTCTTCCACCTTATTCACATCCACATAAGGAACAGATACATTTACACATAAGAATTACTTAGTATATGTCTTCCTTCAGGAAAATACTAGGTCCAAACATATATTAATCATGTAAGGCCAAGAGGTAAAATTGCATTAAATTTATCAAAACCAGCTGGTGTGACTAGATACAAAAACGTAAGAATACATAAAAAGAAAAGGGAGGAAATTAACCTCAATAACTGATAGGATCGATAATGAAACGAACTAAAAGAAGACTTTTGAACAAAAAGCCCAAACTCGAGCCACCGATCACAGACCTCAAACAGAACTTCCACAAGAAGCTCCATCAAATTTCGACGGAGTTTTGTTGCTCGGCTCGACTATCCTGAATCGAACTCTGCTTGTTTAGATGGGTTTTTGAGATTGTTTTTCATGGTTGTGTTGCTGCGTTTTCCAGCAAGAAGAAGAAGAAGCTGAAGCGTTCGAGATCTGTCTATGGTTGCTTCCTTGTTTGTAGAAGAAGGTCTAAAATGGTTATTTGTGTTCAAGCAGAAGATCGACGTGGGGAGGTCCTTTTTGTATTGTTGCGGCTGCTTTGAAGAAGAAGGCAACCCTGAAGGTTTTCTCTTTGGTTGTATATCAAAATCAGAAGGAAACGGCTGCTTTCCAAAAGTCTAAAGGTCTTTATTTTGTGTATTCACGGCTGTGTTCCCTCTATTGTGTTAGAATGCTAATGAAGTTAGGGTGTGTGTGTGAGGAAGAAGTTGTTCGCTGGGGGGTCTTAGTGTAAACGGTGGATCTGAGGTCTTTAGGTTTTCTACTGTGTCCTCATGAAAAAGATGACATTTTTTGGGGTCCCAAACGGCTGAAGGCCTTCCTTTTGTTAGGGATTTTTAGGTTAATTTATGTGTATTCTGCTAAAGGGGTGTCTAGGTTTGGGCTTTTTAGTTAATGGGCTAAGAGATTGACTTAATTGGGCTAAGAGCAAGACAAAAATTAGTCCAAAAAAAATTTAATTCTATTCCCTCCTCCCTTTTTGTATGTAAAAATAATATAGCAAACAAGATAAACTATTTAAAATACTAATTAATCTTACTTAAGAAAATAACTATTAAAATAACACTGACCATTAGAACAAACCTATTTTGGTATTTTTTTTCAAGATTAAAAATGACTACAAATCATTAATGAAACTATTTTTTGTAATTTTTATTTTTTGTGATAAAATAAAGTAAAAGAGTCAAAATTAGTTGAAATAACTATATTAGACCTAAACTAAGTATTTAAATGCTAAAATACATAAAATCTTGGGGAGGGTCAAAAATCACATGTCTACAGCTGCCCCTTTTTGACTGAAAATACAAAGTATTTTCAGACAAAAAACGACAGACAGGCTTTTTGACCCAACCCTTATTTAGGGAGACCAAAAAGTAAGAGAAAAGAGAATGTGAACGAGCCATGGTATCTGAGCTGCCTACATATACTTGGCTATAAAGGAATCAGGCCACGTGTAGTTCAAAAGTGAATGAAGTGATGGAGTATACTGAGGTGGAGAGCCGGTCGAGGTGCCGTTCTGTCGAGGTTCCGGTCTGCGGTCCTATTATTACATCAAAATCAAAAAAAATTAAGAAAACTAACTAAGCCTGTCAACTATGAGTTACAAAATTCCTATCTATAAGTCTTCTGAAGCTTAATCTTGAGTCTTGAATGCCTCTTCGTGCACACTTTAGATTTGAACCTTGACGCTTGCTAGCTGCAGGTGCTAGTTCATTCTTCTTCGTGTCAAGACCGGACATGCAATGCTCGTGATTTCAGCCATGTCTTGAGCAGTTTACATCTTTCTCTACTTCTGCATTTTGGATTCACTTCTTTCTTTTTTTATTCTGGATTGTGACTAACTTCTATTGATCATCTCGGACTGTTGACTCGCATTCTTGCCGCGAACTTCTGCTACTTCTAACTTGAATTGAATTTTGAATGGACTTCCCTTGTTCTTTAGGTGGGTGCCTGATTTCCAAAACTTGAACTATATTCCCTTGTTCTCCAGGTGGGCGCCTGATTGCCAGAAACTTGAATTGTATTCCCTTGTTCTCCAGGTGGGCGTCTGATTGCCAAAACTCGAATTGTATTCCCATGTTCTCTAGGTGGGCGCGTGATTGCCAAAACTCGATCTGTATTTCCTTGTTCTCCAGGTGGACGCCTGATTTCCAAAACTTGAACTGTATTCCCTTGTTCTCCAGGTGGGCGCCTGATACCGAAACTTGAACTGTATTCCCTTATTCTCCAGGTGGGCGCATGATTGCCAAAACTTGAACTGTATTCCCTTATTCTCCAGGTGGGCGCATGATTGCCAAAACTTGAACTGTATTCCCTTGTTCTCCTGGGGGCGCCTGATTGCCAAAACTTTAACTATATTCCCTTGTTCTCCAGGTTGGCGCCTGATTGCTAAAACTTGAATTGTATTCCCTTGTTCTCCAGGTGGGCACCTGATTGCTAAAAGTTGAACTGTATTCCCTTATTCTCCAGGTGGGCGCCTGATTGCCAAAAACTTGAACTGTATTCCCTTGTTCTCCAGGTGGGCGCCTGATTGCCAAAACTTGAACTGTATTCCCTTGTTCTCCAGATGGGCGCCTGATTGCCAAAACTTGAACTGTATCCCCTTGTTCTCCAGGTGGATGCCTGATTACCGAAACTTGAACTATATTCCATTGTTCTCCAGGTAGGCGTCTGATTGCTAAAATTTGAACTGTATTTCATTGTTCTCCAAGTGGGCGCCTGATTGCCAAAACTTGAAGTGTATTCCCTTGTTCTCCAGGTGGGTGCCTGATTGCCAAAACTTGAAGTGTATTCCATTGTTCTCCAGGTGGGCACCTGATTTCCAAAACTTGAACTGTACTCCCTTGTTCTCCAGGTGGGTGCCTGATTGCCAAAACTTGAACTGTACTCCCTTGTTCTCCAGGTGGGTGCCTGATTGCCAAAACTTGAACTGTACTCCCTTGTTCTCCAGGTGGGTGCCTGATTGCCAAAACTTGAACTGTACTCCCTTGTTCTCCAGGTGGGTGCCTGATTGCCAAAACTTGAACTGTACTCCCTTGTTCTCCAGGTGGGTGCCTGATTGCCAAAACTTGAACTGTACTCCCTTGTTCTCCAGGTGGGTGCCTGATTGCCAAAACTTGAACTGTACTCCCTTGTTCTCCAGGTGGGTGCCTGATTGCCAAAACTTGAACTGTACTCCCTTGTTCTCCAGGTGGGTGCCTGATTGCCAAAACTTGAACTGTATTCCCTTGTTCTCCAGGTGGGCGCCTGATTGCCAAAACACGAATTGTATTCCCTTGTTCTTCAGGTGGGCGCCTGATTGCCAAAACTTAGACTGTATTCCCTTGTTCTCCAGGTGGGCGCCTGATTGCCAAAACTTAGACTGTATTCCCTTGTTCTCTAGGTGGGCACCTGATTACAACAAAACAAATAAAACAAAAGAAACCTTTCTGCCCCAGTTTGGTATCTGGGCACATCTGTGAATGTTAACCGAATCATGTTACCTATGAAGAGCTATAAGAATCTGAAAGCTAAATCCCATTATCCAGGAGGGCCCTAAAATTTTTTAAATTAAATCACATTATCCAGGAGGGTCCTAAAGAGCCGAAAATGAACTTACCTGAGCCATGGTCTCTTCCTTGAGGATCTCTGCAGAACGAACAAAATTTGTTGCCCCTTAACCATGCTTTCCTCATGGAGTGTTCCTGCAGATCGAACAAACTTTCTTTCCCTTTCTCAAACCACCTTTGTGCTGACAAAAGGGCACGACACTTGAAAAATTCAAGCTTTGATTTGGACATAGTCTTTGTCCCTGCTTCAAACAAAGAAAACTTGTGAGTGGTTGGTTTGTGGCCTTGACTTTGAGGGCAATTGCTCCTTCACTTCCCATGATAACTTTGATTTCAACTCGAAAGACCTTGCTTGTTTATTGACTGACCACTTTCTCTGTCACCCTTATCATGGAAAATACCTCTGATCCGTTCAAACCCAATACCATTTATTTGTTGTGTTGTGCGCATGCATTAACATATACCGAACTTTTATGTTTCACATGAATCCCAAAGCACGTCGATTGCCACTCACTCAGTGCGCGTACTGTTCTTTCCTGACTTAAACCACTTTGATGTACTAGCCAGACAAAGCTTTGTGCAATTGGAAAGCTGGTAGGAAATTTTGAAGTCATTTCTCACTTGTTCTGACCAAACAGACTCGGGAAGAGGAAGTAAACAAGACAAAAGGAACAGAGTAAGGACAATGGAAAGAGATGATTCCTAACAAGAAAACTACAAAGTAGAAACTTATTAGATGTGGATACCAACTCTAATGACCAATGAAATGCACCTTTGAATTAAGTGGCCTAATCTGTCAAGCAAGTCTGATGTTCAATTCTTGTTATACCCCTAAACCGTGAAACTGGGCTTCAATGCTCCGATTATCCAATCTGATTCACGATCCTTATTCGACTTGTAGTGCCTGAAAGGTTTTCACCATCAAGCCTCTCTCATTTTGTTCTTTCTCTCAACTCATCGTTGCCTTATGGTGCCTGTGAAAGTTTTCACTAATAAGACTCTCTCATTTTGTTCTTTTCTTCTTATTTCCTCTGATTCTGCAGATGGCAAGGCATCAACCATGGTAAAACCATGTGCTCCTGGCATGGATAACTCGGCACTCTCAAATTTTATTTGGGAGGTCTTTTTTGGACTGTAATGTGGCTTTTGGACAGGGTTAGAAAGAAAGGATATCATAAAGGCTCAAAATAACTAATACAACGGGGTTAATTTATTTATAACTTTTGGAATCCATTCTAAAAGTTTTGCCCCAATTTCTAAAACAAAGGAATTTGATTCTTTTTTTCTTTTTCTTTTGATGGAGTTACTAAGAAAGACTGCTCCACTCTCGACTTCGTGGGATTATGAAATATTTTATTTGGTATGACCAAACCGTAAGGTTGCCTACGTATCTTGTGGTGACAAGAATCAGGTCAAACGTAGTTCACAAAACTACTTTTGTTACTATTTTCCTTTTTCCCTTTTTTTCTTCTTTTTTCTCTTTTTTTTCTTTTTCTTTTTTTTTTCTTTATCTCTATTTCATTTTTTGATTAATTCCAAAAGAGGGGAGTCAAAAAAGTTAGCATAGGCTCAAAAGGGGTGACGAAGGTTATAAAGTGTTTGGGTAGCTGAAAAGGAGTCTCCCAATCCCTGAAAATGCCAAGTACAACACGTGCAACTTGAGAATGAAAAAGGAATATGATGCACAACATTTCTTTTGCTGCTTCGGTATTGATATCACTGATATGCCTTCCACTTTTTTAGTGCCTTGTCAAGTACAGAACTCTCGTTGGGTAATTCCCTCTTCACAATGGATATCCTCCGTCAATTCGGAGCAAACTCTCTTGACTTTATCTTGTAAATTGAGGTGCACTAGAACTTAAAGTTGCTCGCTTCAAATTGTCCGGAATGCACTCTCCTTTAACAAATTCTTGTCACCCTATTAACTTACCAAATTATCTGCCCCAGTTTCACATGGTTCAGGCTTCAAATGATCTCGAAATGTCCAAATTTGTACTTATTTCCCTCAAATGTCCCTATCAACTTCAAAATTGCTTTATTGCTTCATGACTAAACTAACTTTTAAGACCAAGCCTAGAATTATGCATGCATGTCATGTCACTAGAACCAGCATGAAAAGAACTATAAAAGGAGAAGAGAACTAAATAAAAAGAATGACTAGAAATAACAGAAAATAGAAAATTGCACTAGACAGACGGTGAAAGGGTTTGAACAACAGAACAAGCAAAATAAACTGGGGTTACAATCCTGAAACAAACATAAACAATA